TGAAATAGTCTCGAAATGCTTTTTTCACTTACCTTTCTTGAAACAATTATTTGATGCATTTTATCCCGAAGATTCTTGAATATTATTATTTATTTCTTTTTCTATTATTTAGTTCTTGGCTTCACTTAAGATTTTGACTCTGTTTAGGAGGTTGATGATATCAGGTCTCAATAAAAAGGTGTTCAATGCCTAATTGATTTCATTTCCAACCATTGGGTCATTCTCAAGGTCCTACAAGCAGTAATTATCTGTCAGTTTTAACGATTAACACAAAAGTAAATCTGTACTAACAATTACACTTATAACTACGTAATCTTTAAACCATAAAAATCAGAGCACTTGTGAACTGTACTATATACAACTACTACTATGTACTGTATACAAAAAATTAATTTATACAAATTCAACAATATCCCTATATAACAATCTGATATATTTTATCATTAAGATATATTGTCTCTGTACGCTAAAGGCGTCACCTGTGGGGCCACGGAGGAATTGATCGCTAACGTCATTGCCGGACTGGGGATGAAGCCCGTCATTGGATTCAACAGATCACACTTTTTATTCTGTTTCTCTTTTAAGATCTCCATCATGTACAACACAACTAAAAAGTGATGTGATTTCTATGGTTTAAATATTACATCTTTATAAGCGTAATTGTGAGATTTACTGTTGTGTAAAATTGTTAAAACTGACATGTAAATGCGTGGTGTTTAGTGACCGTTAGTTAATGATTATTTGGAGATCGTGAAATGCAGACTGGTGGGACATAGGTTTTAGAAAAACATTTTCTTTATCGTGCCAACTTTTGATCTTTATTGAGATCAACTTCAGGGCTCATTGTGTTGGTTTTCCGTGTAGATGCATCATTCTTCTGTGTCGTGTTGAGAGTGCCATTGATCCCTGAAGATGATTTCAATAAAGATCGAAACGTTGGCCCGACAAAAACAAAATATTTTTCTAAAACCTACGTCATACCAGATCTCCAAACAATTCAGAAAGATAAATGTTGATAGTACCGATTTGCAATAACATCAATTACAGATTGCAAGTTTTCCTCATGTGGCCTGACATGCCCTAAACAAAATATTAAAGATGACGCCCATAACATCCCTCCACTATATCGGATAAAAATCTGGACATTGGTGTTCATAAATTGACAATTTTTCTTTTATGTTTTGGTATTTTATACATATTGTATATCACGTATATAATTCTTAATTTAGGAATACATGGTGAGCCAACGAAACAAACCTACTTGAAAATATTTATTTAGAAATCGTGAGATGCAATCTGGTGTGATTAACGATCACTAATCACCACATATTTCTACTTGAAAATGGCGAAGAGCTGTCTTACTGACATAATAAGGAAGACTAAAAATCGTAAATTACCAACCGATTGTATCTAAATTGTGTTACTACAATAATTTTATTTAAATATAAAGTCACAAAAGAAAAAACTTTAAGAACGTTATTTCAGTTTGGTTGTAGATAGTGAGATGCGGTCTGGTGTGACGGAGCTTTTAGAAAAACATTTTCTTTATTGTGCCAACGTTTCATGCTTTATTGAGATCATCTTCAGGGCTCAAAGTGTTTGTTTTCTGTGTACATATGTCATTATTGGTTGTCGTGTTGAGAGTGCCAAACACTCCAAGTTATTTCTGGTTTTAAAACAATTTTAAATTGGGATTAACTACTCCAAGGGAATGTAGAATCACATCAGTGCTACTCTGGTAATTAGTATAAAAGATTTTTATGATGATTAAAATTAATGATGATTTACAGATAGAAAAACCTATTTTAGTTAATACACTCATCACTGAAAATAAAAATGTACATAATTATCTTAATCTATAAACTCAATCCCAACACCCAAATTGTATTTCATGCAATAAAAATAAAATGGAGATTGGATATAAAAGCATAAAGTATAACATTACAGAAAAGATATATTTATTTACAAAAATTATGTAAAGAATCTTTGTGTGTGAGTGTGGTAAAAGTACATTTACATAATTGTTTGCTAGTTAAAAAAGTGGGGGATTATTTTATATGTAAAATAAATTGAAACTGTAATCAACTAGCAGTCTCTTAAGATTTGAGGGTTTATTAGGTTTATAGGATGTGAGATTATATCCCCGAATGTTTTTTTCGTTTATCTCAAGTTTTGAATTGTAACTGTTTTGAGAAAACAATTGAAGTATTCATACACACTCATATATATATATATATATATATATATATATATGAGTGTGTATGTGTTTAAATAATTGGATGGATTTTTTAATACTCGAGTGTTGCCTTTTTTCTTTCTTCGGAGTTCTTTGCCAGGAGGAAAAGAGAATTATTATGGAAGTTGAATGTTTTCGAGTGTCTTTAAGCGGATAGAAGACGAGCGAATGGTGGGCGGGGGTTTTTATGATTTCTTAAGACATTTACCCTTCTTCGGCCCGCTCAGCTTCAGCAAATAACCTTTAATTTTTAAGTGGTTTCCCATGTTCCGAGTGCCGCTTCTCCGCCCCGGAGAAACCAATAAAATATGATGCTTCCACAAATAAAGATTTTAAACCCCTCAGGGCATAAATTTGTACTATCTGCACACTCTGCGTTTTCTCCCCTATGACGGTGAAGTGACAATTTCTTCCAATGATAAAATAAAAACACATGATATTGCAGGGATATTTAAATCACATTAGGAAATTAATAAAAGGGAATTTGTAATTACTACGAAAAAATTATAATTAAGTTAGTTTGCGGAAAAAAGCCACTTGGTCTACAAGAAAACCGAAAAATAAAAATATATTTTTAGCGATGTGTGGTGTTTAGGGACCGTTAGCGAATGATTATTTGGAGATTGTGAGATGCGGTCCGGTGTGACGTAGATTTTAGAAAACCATTTTCCTTATCATGCCAATGTTTCGAACTTTATTGAGCTCATTTCAGGGCCTGGGATTTACAAACATTGTTTAAATTTTACAAATACAGGTAGGATGTGGAAAAAATGAATTTATATAACGCTAGAAATTTTAGATTCAATCAAAGTATTTGTACTTACTCAAAGTGTTGTTTTCTGTATAGATGTGTCATTCTTGTGTGTCATGTTGAGAGTACAAGTGAGATATTGATGGTTTATTTTATATATGTTGGATTTTGAAAGGGTGGGGAGGGAAGTCGGAAATGGAAAGACATTTTTATATGGGGAGTCGGCTTTTTGACGTAAAAGGAGCTGACAATGGGCAAAAACGGTTATAGTTTCGCCTGATTATCCTTTCATAATTTCAATAATCAACAACTACAACTCATCACATACACCATCCACTATTGTTAATAATTAAAGATTAATTAATTGAATGATGTTATCTGGTCAATCGGACCGCGATATCTAATTGATTTAATTACTAATAATGACACACCAAATCTATCAATACAGACAAACCAACATACCAACCATAAATTTCCATGCCATTCATTCACGGCATATCACATAAATTAAACACGTTTCTCTCTCCTCACAATTTTACAATAGCATCAAAGACTATAAAATAATTCACACACTTTTTTCCAAAATTAAAGATCCCACACCAGTAACAAATAAATCTCACGTAATTTACAAAATCAATTGTTTCAATTGTCCGGCAACTTACATCCCAATATCTGGATAAGAGAGTAAAGCAACATATCAATGATTGCATAAAACCCAAACAAAATCCTACAGCACTGGCTACCCACTACTTTGAACACCAACAGAATTTTGATTCAACAAACCAAAAATATTACACACAGAACAAAACAAACACAAGCGTAACTTTTCAGAAATGGTTTACATCAAACAGAGATAAACATAGCACCAATTAAAGAACGGAAACATGTAAACTCAGTCGCAGCTACGCAAATATCATTAATCAAATTCAATATCGATAACTACATATACAATCATCATCACATCACACAAAACATATAATCGTTTCTTAAAAAGATAGTATACTTTTGCAATTCATGTCGAGAGACGTGGTTATAGACATCCTTCAACCTGATGATGAGCTAAGGGCTCGAAATCCGGATCGTTTGAAAACAACTTAGTGTGAGTAGGAACTATCTTTTTTAAGAAAGGATTGAACACCGTACTCACTCCATCTTTCATAATTTCTACAAAACATATAATTCAACATATAAAACAATCATCACATTCTACACATCAAACATTTCTACATAGTCTAATTCTTTAACAATTTGGTTTTCCATTCCTTAATTATCCCTGTCTATATAATCCTGAAAGGATAATCTGGCTGAACCATTACCCATTTTTTCCATTTTCTGCTCCTTTCACCCCAAGTAAAAACGTCTTTCTATCCGTACTTCTATCCCCTCCTTCAAAATCCAACGTATATAAACATAAAACCTCAATATCACGTCACACCAGAACGCATCTCACGATTTCCAAATATCATATTTTTAAGCTTTTATTTAGTGTACCCGATTGAAAATGAAGCAAAATAGGAATTTCTTTCTGAGTCAGGGCTTTGATTTTATACTTACGAGAGCAATAAATGACTAACATTTTTCTGAGCTTCAAAAACATGAAAAACAATGAGAATGTGACAAAGGTCACAAACCAATTCTAAAAAAGGTAATATTCGGCATGATTTTCCATCACAATTTATTGACGAAGTTTCACAAAAAAATGTGATTAACCGAGATCACCGTAATTTCGAATATGTTCATTGAATCCTACAAATGCTAAACGTATTTTAATTAAACCATTTATCCATAAACGGCAGTAAAATCGTTGGTGTATCATTTGTTCAGGATATTAAAAAATAACTCAAACAGTATCAACAAATTTTCGATTTGTCATTACATGACATATGAAATGTTGAAGTGAAGAATTGCTAATTTGAAATAAATGTATACGGGAGAGAAGATCACATCCAATACATAAAAAACATCATTCCTCTTTAATTAAAATGAATGTATTGATTTGTTTCTTTTTTTCAGCATGCAACAGAACATATTTCGGTGACGTGGGTAGGACGTACGAAGTTGAGATAAGACGACCCAGAGAAGACAGACTGCCATTTATTTGCCATCTCAACTTCACAGCCGGCGGAGGAGATCTTGGCGACTTGATACAGGTAAAAATACAAAATTTTAAGCAGAATTTACAAAGAGCTTTTAATTTAGCATTAAACGTGACAAAGGGAAGAATTATACCGAAGAAATTCTACTGTTTAAATCATTTTTATTATTTTTCAATTGTGAAATAAATTAATGGTTGTTTTACTGAAGAGGAGGGTTACAAATCCGTTTGTTCATGGAAAATGAATTTACTAAAAAAAATCTCCTTCCTGATTTAATCTCTAGATTTCAATATTTTCATTAAATTTTTTTATTTATTTTAAATTGAAGAGGGGAAAAGGCAGTGTATAAAATGATTGTTTTTTTTTCATATTTCGACGAATTTGCAGGTCAATCTACACACATGTTGATTTTGTTTGCTTTTTCGTGAGGGGATTTCTCTATGCTTGAACAAATCAAATTGAATACACGTTCTTTTTTCTCCCTGTGAGTTCACATTGTGTCCTTCCATAGGTTTTCACGTACAGTAAATACAAGTTAACTCGAAAACATCATGCCGTTTTGTATTTGTTAGTGTTTTATTACTTTGATCAACATTTCCATTTACACAGGAAGATTAAATGTTTACATCATCATAGATGTGATACCAAGAGGATAATGCAATGCAAAGAAAATGTTTCTTGAACAGTTCACTGTTGACATTAAAATATTTTATTTTTCATGAATTTCATGTCTATTCGTACGTGGTTATTGTATAAATGTTAGCTCGGTACTACAGCAATTTGCAATAAGTGACCGTCCTGCCCAAACGTGGTTCGAAAAGTTTGCTTCAGTAAATTAGGGGATTGGAAATGTACCAGGGTCTGGTAGGCCTTGTATATAATGACGACAAATTGCGGGTTGACATTCTTTCTAGTCAAACATGTCAGGAACTTACCAGTAAGCCCTGAACCATTTGCTTACATCCCCTTGCGAAGTCGTGGAAGCACTGCACATGGTTTGTTCATAAATTGGCCGACTGTGACAAGTTTCAGCGTTTCCACAATTTCCTCTCATTACTTTCAAGGCACAAGGTATTTTGACCGGATTGTCACATTGCGACGAAAAGCGGATCCTTACAGTATCACCAGATGCTATCAAAAAATGATCCTATCCTAATGTCGCGACAACCGAATGTTCGCAAAATATTGAAAATGTGATTGTTTGTATTTAGTGGAGTAGGGGTATTCACGAACTTTGTGTTAACCCTGCTTACTCTGTTACGTCCTGTTAGGTCGAGAAAAATTATCGGCTAGTTAAGGTGTTACGTAGAAAATGTAGTCACATTTCTATCCGCTAGGGCGTAGGTAACCAAGATGGCAGCCATGAATTTAACAGCTGATTTTTGTTTACACATAATTTTATTCTTAAATACGCATTAATTAAATCACACCAATACATTTCTTTTGTTAAATTATGGCCTGTCCTTATCATTCATAATAGATACTTCCCCTATCGTATAATGTTGTAGGCTGTTAGATATTAAGATACTCGCTAGGTATCGGCCCGAATTGAAGCGTGTCATTTGTTAGTACTTTTCAACTACATAGCATTTTGAATGAAAGATGTGATTAATTTTCCTTTTTACTAACTTCTGGCATCTTACAATTTAACACAAACCAAAATCATAAGAGACAACAAGCTTTCAAGTTAAAGCTTTGTTTTTGGTTCTACCAGCCGCCACGCGAAGCATTGAGGAAAAATTAACGTTTAACATGCTAAGAAAAGAAAGGGTAATTCACGATCTTCTAGACATTTCTTTATTCGAGTTAACACATGTTAACGTCTTACAAACATCCGAATACCCCTATTATGTGCTTTACTCTCCGTGTCCTGTTAAAAACTGGTCTGTTAAATCGAGCAATGTTAACTAGCCGATTCTTCCAAAAATAAAGCTATAACATTCATTGGAGGCTTGTTGTTGTTCGTTTTGGTTTTCTTTTGTGATAAATTGTAAGATGCCAGAAGATAGTAAAAAAGGAAAATTAATCAACTCTTTCATTCAAAATGCTATATATGCACTGGAAAAGTAATAACAAATGACACGCTTCAATTCGTTATATCATATCGTCTAATAGCCTACAACTTTATAGAATACGGGATATATCAATTATGAATGCGAGTGCAAGGACAGGTCAGAAATTATCAAAATATATGTATTGGTCTGATTTAATTAATGCGTATTTAAGAATAAACATACATGTAAACAAAAAACAGCTGTTAAATTCATGGCTGCCATGTTGGTTACCTACGCCCTACCGGATAGCAATGTGACTACATTTTCGACCTATCATCTAACATTGGCCCTGGCCTCCTAGATCAAGTAATATTAACTAGCCGATTCTTACAAGTCTTTCGACATCATTTTTCTCTAACATGACAATTTTTGTAACATGTTAACACGTGTTAACTCGAATAGAGAAATGTCCAGTATGATCGTCAACGCCCCCTACTTTTCTTAGCATGTTAAATGTTAATTTTTCCGTAATGCCATGGGTGGCGATTGGTAGAACCAAAAATAAATCTGTAACTGTCCTTGAAGGTTAGTTGTTGTTTGTAATGGTATTGTTTTGTGTTAAATTGTGAGATGCCAGAAGTTAGTAAAAAAGGAAAATTAATCAACTCTGTCAATCAAAATGCTATCTATGCACAAGAAAAATTCTAACGAATGACACTTCAATTCGTGGCGACATAACTAACTTATATTCTAACTTCTAACAGCCTACAACTTCATAGGATAGGAGATGTTTCTATTATGAATGAAAGTATACGGACAGGTCAGAAATTAACAAAAGAAATGTATTGGTCTCATTTAATTCATGCGTATTTAAGAATACCTAAACAAAAAACAGCTGTTACATTCATGGCTGTCATGTTGGTTACCTACGCCCTAACAGATATCAATGTGACTACATTTTCGACCTAACACCTTACATAGGGATGGCCTTTTAAAGCGACAAATGTCAACTAGCCGATTCTTACAAGTCTACATCATCATTTTTCTCGATCTAACAGGACTTAACATAGTTAGCAGGTTAACACAAAGATCGTGCATACACCTAACAACTGCAGAAATATACTCTACCCAACTGCAACGAATATCATAATCATCATATAAAATTTCCTCTCGTGAATAAAAATGAATAAAGTGATGGAAGGTATTTTTTTAATCAAAAATGTTTAAAAATAATTGATTTAATTGTTTTTATTTTATAACCATAAACCTGCATTGTTTTCCGGACAACCAAATAACTACTACTTTTATGGTCTTAACACAACTTATACAAGCGTCTAGAAGAAAAACGGCAATGCTGTCGATAAACAACTGTAAACTAGAATGCATCTTATATAAACTTATTTATAACCCATAAAAATTTATCATGCTGTATAATCCTTTTAATGCTAAAAGGGCTCTGAATCAATCTCATAAAATGTATAAAAAAATGGATGGAGGTACTGGTATGATGAGCGGTTAGATCGGTGAACGGATGGAGGGTCTAGCGGGATAATAGGCATTACCCTGTTGAAAATAGGGGGTTTGCTCAAAGGTCCGATCTCCAGCCTAATGAGGACAGTTATGCTCCCTCTGCCGGAGTACGAGCGGCAAGTTTCAAAGGCCTTTCGGCTATTATCAATCTCTTTCTTACCGAAATCACAAAGCCGGGATGATCCTTATCACGCGGGACTTTTTTCTAGGTGGATCGCGGATGAAACGCAACTCATTGCCAACCGGAAGCGCTTCGCAGACCTCTTCAGGACGACAATTAGCCGACCTGGGAAATTTCCATTGTAATGTTAACTGCGATAATGGTGACTTCGTTAAAGGGCAATTTTGGGATTCCGGAGATAATTGCTTCTGCAGCCCTTTGTCTAAGACCGCGTATTTAATTCTTAAAAAAACCTATTTCACCCTTTTGACTATAGTCTGCCGGGGCAATTTTCGTAACTCGTCATCGCATCTCGTAAGCAATATTGAGTCTCATGTTAAAAATATTGGATGCGAAACCTGAAGTCCTTACCCGTTTTATCTAACAGGGCCACAGGCATCCCTTTGCCACGGAGGCGTAATGACATTGTGCAAAATATACGAGCTCCATATACGCTCAGTCAAAAATAAACACATTTTCTTTATACCGTATTATGCGTTATTGTACGTTACAACGCGTTATGTGAAATATAACATAACATTATTTTATTACGTTTTGTTGATATAACAGAAAAAACAGGGTTAGAAAAAGAGTTTAGGGTGATTTTTCTTTTTAGCTCTACTTGATTTTCATGTCTTGCTTTTCCTTTTAGTTTAATTAAAATATAAATGATAAAAGAGTCTTTTTAACCCAGCATTATACCAAGACAGAGGAGTACAATTTAAAAACGTCACTTCATTATTATTAATACGAAAATAATAAAGGTCGTACAAATCTTAACAATTAAAAAATCTGTGATTTTATAATATAAAAATTATTTTATTTCTAAAATACATAATTATTTGACTATCATTTGTCCTTATAACGAGACAAATTCTAATAATAATTGTATAAATATTTATGTTTCATATCACGATGTTTTAGCATATAAGGGGTATTTACGATGTTTGTAAGATCTCGTTTTAACCCGAAAAGAGAAATGACCAGTATGATCGTGAAAGCCCTCTACTTTTCTTAGCATAATAAACGTTAATTTTTCCTCATTAAATTCACTAATTTCGGGGTCCGCTTGACCAATTAATATATTACAATTAATTAAGGTTTTGTCGCCGAGAATCCAATCCGATTACACGACATTTGAAAAATGGCAAAAAAGAGGGAAAATTCAAAAGGTGGTGTTGAGATGGGAAATTGGTGTCCGAGTGGATCGTGGTCACAATAGCTCAAGTGGTAGAGCAGCGGCGTATCTAGCTGAAGAACGTGGGTTCGAATCCCGCTCGTGCCATTGACATTTTTATCTCAACTAAAAACCTTAATTAATTGTAATATATTAATTGGTCAAGCGGACCACGAAATTAGTGAATTTAATG